CTTAGCTTCTATTTTCTTTTTGCAGATAATGACGCTCCATGAGCCGAAAGTATTCAGTTCGCATTCTGAAGAGCCGCATATCAGTCAAATGGATTCTCGTATACCTACCGACCAGGCGCATATGATTAACGGAGAGGTACGGTGGTCAATTTTTGATGTTTTCGATGTTGTTTATATGTACACCTGACACCTGTTTTACGTTGTCTTCATTCATCAGTTGATTTGTGATGTATGACGCGACTTTGCGTATTGTCATCATTTTCAGAGGCCAGATGTTTTCGAATACGATCCCTCAGAAGAGCTAGACACCCACACTGAGATGGTCGCTCCGAATGTCGATGCTCGTATTTTTGAGAGACAGGTAATAAATTTATTATACATTTTTTTCTTGTTCGCGAAATTTCCTTCTCTTTCTATGTTCCGTGTTTCTTGCCATTTGCCTAGCTCTTTGATGCTTTCTTCCCAACATCTCCTTGTTACCAGAACTTTGATCGCTTATCCGAGCAAAAATAGCGCTCCTTGCATATAAACAACTCCCCGACTAGACGTATTGAGGGAGAGGCACACCTGGGAAACCGCGTGAATTGGGAGAGTGAGTGCCAGCCGGGGTCAGTGTTTATGATTGCAAGGAAAATGTCCCAGATTTGCCCCGTTTTTGATGCCTATAGTTGGCTGAAGATTAGTTTATTGTCAGTTTTTCCCGTAGTTTTGAGTAGCCTTGAAAACTGGAAGGGGTGGTAGTATAAAGTACTTACTTTGGTCGAGTCTTTGCAAACAAACATCTTAACTATCGATTTATTCTTTTTTTGAAAGCCTATTCTATCTCATATGTTTTGCGTTCGTATACTAGGCAGTTTATATTTAAATTTGGCTTCCTAAATCTTTCTTCATATATCATTTTTTCAGGATTCTTTGGCCCGAGCAGCTACGCTGCAGGAATGTGATCGCGAAAGAGATCCTGAGATTTTGAATTTTTTGGAAACTACAATGAATATCGATGATTACCTTGAGGATATAAAACAGGCGGTAAGTGCTAATTTCATCTTCCTCATTCTTATTGGTATTGATACACAATATTTCCAGACGGGTGTTCCCCCAGAAGAAATCGACTTGGACGATTATGAGTTGCAGAAATGCAATATTCTATACCAAGACGATAAAATGCAGCCGTACGACAGCTATGATCCTTTCGCTCACGATATGGGATTGCATGATCATATGGTACCTTTGGATTACGGTAAGTCATTCTTTTCGCCACTTCATATACAGAATTTGAATTTTCTTTCCTGCAGATCCCAAACCACTCACACCAGCTCCCACAGCTCCTTCATCTGTGGAAAACATAGTCGTCAAAACAGAACCGGCATGGGAAAGTGAGTTATTGTTCCGATGACTCACGCATGAGTCATCATTCCTGCCTATCCTTTTTCCCCTATTCAATAACCCAATTACAGATAGCGCTGCTCCATCAACCTCTAATGCGCTGCCGTCCAAGCGAGGCCGTGGGCAACCGAGGGAAGATGTCTATACTCCAACCACTACGGCCAGGAAATATAGGCTGAAGACTCCTCAGGAACGGAACAACACCTCATACAAAGTAAAGCGACAAAGAAATAATGATGCCGTTCGAAAAAGTCGCACGAAGGTAACCTGTTTTTTCCTTTTCTTCCTATGTCTAAAGGCCACTGCATGACGAAGACGCTCAAGCAGTATT